TATGGTACTAGCAATTATCCTTCTATGTGCTAAATATAAATTTGGCTTTTCATTTATTTTAGAAATTAAGAATTTTTTAAATATTAGGGTTGAGAAATCAACCCCTTTGACCGTTCGGAAGCATTTTTCCTTTTAGCTGTATATGGTACTAGCAATTATCTTTTTATGTGCTAAATATAAATTTGGCTTTTCATTTATTTTAGAACTTATGAATTTTTTAAATATTAGGGTTGGGAAATCAACCCCTTTGACCGTTCGGAAGCAATTTTCCTTTTAACTGTATATGGTACTAGCAATTATCCTTCTATGTGCTAAATATAAATTTGGCTTTTCATTTATTTTAGAAATTATGAATTTTTTAAATATTAGGGTTGAGAAATCAACCCCTTTGACCGTTCGGAAGCAATTTTCCTTTCAACTGTATATGGTACTAGCAATTATCCTTCTATGTGCTAAATATAAATTTGGCTTTTCATTTATTTTAGAAATTATGAATTTTTTAAATATTAGGGTTGAGAAATCAACCCCTTTGACCGTTCGGAAGCAATTTTCCTTTCAACTGTATATGGTACTAGCAATTATCCTTCTATGTGCTAAATATAAATTTTGCTTTTCATTTATTTTAGAAATTATGAATTTTTTAAATATTAGGGTTGAGAAATCAACCCCTTTGACCGTTCGGAAGCAATTTTCCTTTCAACTGTATATGGTACTAGCAATTATCCTTCTATGTGCTAAATATAAATTTGGCTTTTCATTTATTTTAGAAATTATGAATTTTTTAAATATTAGGGTTGAGAAATCAACCCCTTTGACCGTTCGGAAGCATTTTTCCTTTTAGTTGTATATGGTACTAGCAATTATCTTTTTATGTGCTAAATATAAATTTGGCTTTTCATTTATTTTAGAACTTATGAATTTTTTAAATATTAGGGTTGGGAAATCAACCCCTTTGACCGTTCGGAAGCAATTTTCCTTTTAACTGTATATGGTACTAGCAATTATCCTTCTATGTGCTAAATATAAATTTGGCTTTTCATTTATTTTAGAAATTATGAATTTTTTAAATATTAGGGTTGAGAAATCAACCCCTTTGACCGTTCGGAAGCATTTTTCCTTTTAGCTGTATATGGTACTAGCAATTATCTTTTTATGTGCTAAATATAAATTTGGCTTTTCATTTATTTTAGAACTTATGAATTTTTTAAATATTAGGGTTGGGAAACCAACCCCTTTGACCGTTCGGAAGCAATTTTCCTTTTAACTGTATATGGTACTAGCAATTATCCTTCTATGTGCTAAATATAAATTTGGCTTTTCATTTATTTTAGAAATTATGAATTTTTTAAATATTAGGGTTGAGAAATCAACCCCTTTGACCGTTCGGAAGCAATTTTCCTTTCAACTGTATATGGTACTAGCAATTATCCTTCTATGTGCTAAATATAAATTTGGCTTTTCATTTATTTTAGAAATTATGAATTTTTTAAATATTAGGGTTGAGAAATCAACCCCTTTGACCGTTCGGAAGCAATTTTCCTTTCAACTGTATATGGTACTAGCAATTATCCTTCTATGTGCTAAATATAAATTTGGCTTTTCATTTATTTTAGAACTTATGAATTTTTTAAATATTAGGGTTGGGAAATCAACCCCTTTGACCGTTCGGAAGCAATTTTCCTTTTAGCTGTATATGGTACTAGCAATTATCTTTTTATGTGCTAAATATAAATTTGGCTTTTCATTTATTTTAGAACTTATGAATTTTTTAAATATTAGGGTTGGGAAATCAACCCCTTTGACCGTTCGGAAGCAATTTTCCTTTCAACTGTATATGGTACTAGCAATTATCCTTCTATGTGCTAAATATAAATTTGGCTTTCCATTTATTTTAGAAATTATGAATTTTTTAAATATTAGGGTTGAGAAATCAACCCCTTTGACCGTTCGGAAGCAATTTTTCGTTCAACTGTATATGGTACTAGCAATTATCCTTCTATGTGCTAAATATAAATTTGGCTTTTCATTTATTTTAGAAATTATGAATTTTTTAAATATTAGGGTTGGGAAATCAACCCCTTTGACCGGTCGGAAGCAACTTTCCCTTTAACTGTATATGGTTCTAGCAATTATCCTTTTATGTGCTAAATATGAATTTGGCTTTTCATTTATTTTAGGAATTTTATTAATATAGGAATATTAGGGTTGAGAAATCATCCCCTTTGTCTGTTTGTGAGCAAGTTTTCTTTAAACTGTTTTACTTATCATTTACTATTTAATTCCCAAAAATGAACTCAGAAAATACTGAATCGTTTTTATTTTTTCTGTTTTTTTTTTATGTTCAGCTTACTTCAAAATTATGAATATCTAATAAAACTGATAAAACATAAGTTTATTAAACTTATTATGGCGTTGTCTTTTGTGATATTTATTTTTTCTTAATTTTTGTCATATTTAGCTTGTACGCCACTGAAATGCCCAATCGTGCGTTTCCGGAAATTTTGGCTGCTGAAATTGGCTGCTATCTTCACACCGGTGAAAATTTTTTATATTTGGTTGCATTCTGTCGGGATAACAACAAAACAAAACATCTATAGAAATATAAACACAAAATATAACATGGAAGAATTACAAGTAAACGAGGTATCAAGGAGATATTTCAGCAGACATAGAAAGAAGTCTAGACAATACATCAGTTTCAAACATGGCCAACATAGTAGAGAAGAAATGGAATAACAGAAAATTCCACACCTGTAATTTTGAACCAATCAAAATACGTGTTTTTGACATATCACCATGGCAACGGAGGTATTTTAGTGGAAATTTTTTTCTCGTGGGCGAATTATACTGGAAATTTTTTGACGTTTACAATAACAGACCATTTCTGACAGACTAGTTTTTATTTGTTCACATAATAGGTTTAGTTTTGATACATTTTAGTTACAATGCTAAGGTGTTTTCTATATTCTTCGGCCACTTCTTTTCTTCTTAATGGCGAAAATGCAGGACTTTGGATGCTTTGAATTATGTGTCTATGTCTAATAAAATATATATAATATTTAGACACTAATTTATTCACCTTTTTCCCATTCAGCACTTTGAATTTTGCGTAGTTTAGGTGCAAATATTCGTGGACAATTCGGAACAAATTTTCGTTTTTCAAGTTGGAGCCACAATCCTCTATTAATCCGAGTAAGTAAGTCATGGTGCAATGATTGATCATTACATCAGACAATTTCACGCATATTTTGCATAGCGTATGATTTTCAAATCGATTCATTTTTAAACAAATAGGTAATTTTGTTGGTTTTACTTGCTGTGCAATATTCTTTATCGCAACAAAACGCGAGTTATTTAATGTTTTGAACTGTCAAAATACAATGATCACAGCCTCCTACGATTGATGCTTGCTGACGCTGGTTATGAATTTCATACCATTTTAAAGCGCTCATAACGCATGTTAATAAAAACGCAGAAAAACAATTTTCTACCACTTGTAGTTATTCAAAACTTACGTAAAATTAAAGAATATACTATTTTCTATTTTCAAATGGTATTCCTTCCCATGCAACTACAATGAGTAGAAATAAGCAATTTGAAGGCCTAAATAATTGCAGCGAAACATTTTTTTACGTCGGGCCGCTTGACAACTTCAAAACTGAAATTATATTCGAGGTTAGGGTCTCACTTAGTTACCATGACAACTCAACAATCAAGGCGACAACACCTTTTATGTTTCACTGGTGACTTGGAGAAAATAATTTGCATTGTTGAGAAACGAAAAATAAATTTTAAAAATATTTAATTTTCAACCATAATTCGGCGTGGAATTTTCTTACCGAATACCACGCGAGGTCAAATTAATATCAGGAAATTTTTTCTCGCTCATGAATATTTTTAGAAAATTTTCAAAATATTCATCAGCTCGAAAAAATTTCCGGAAATAATTTGACCTCTAGTGGTATTACTAGTGAGAATGCCATAGAAACATCAACTGAGAAAAATATTAATAGTAAAAAAACGCAGAAAAGAAAGGAATGGTTAGATAACGAATGTGATGAAGAAAAAAAAAACAAACTGAGAGAAAAATACCTACAAACAGGGAACGATACAGACGGAAAAAGTATATAGAACAAAGAAAGGCTGTTAAAAAAACGTGAAGAAATATGAAAAGGTGTCACAAAGAAAAAAAGTCGCAGAAATACAAGAAAATTACAAAAAAATGAAATTAATCATTTCTATGAAGATAAAATAAGACAAGGAGGGAAATTTAATAGGAGGAAAAAGTGAGCAAATGCAAAGATGGAAGCAATATTTCCAAAAATTACTGAACGATGAACCTGAATTTGGTGGGTATGTATTGTCAAAAATGGAATCGGGAATATTTTTTATTTATCTTACCAAAACATTTTTTAATAGTCGAATAATTGAATAATTATTGATTCTCATTTATTTTTTCCTAATTAATCACTTTATATTCGAAGTATTATACACTTTTCAAAACTAAATACTGATTATAAATTCAATACAGATCCGTACCAATAAAATTTGGATTACGGTCCATATTACCCAAAAACCGTCATCGAATGCCATTGTGTAATACACCACTGTATTCAGGATGAAAATTTATTTCAAATAATGTTATAAAATATCTAGGTCCATATTTAAAAAAAATAAGTTGAGGGTGGTCCGGAGAATACGAAACGTTGGATGTAAAATATGAAAACGTCAAATCAAAGAAAATTTACAATCAAATAAAAAATCATTAAAATATTTTTTAGTAGTTCTAAAAATAAATGAACGATAACCAAAAAACCGAAAAGATCGAATTTTCTTTTATCGAAATATCTCGAGATACGCAACTTTTTCTCCATTTAACCGACTTTCTAACTAGTATGGTTTGGAAATTACTAATACAATCCCATTAAAAAAGTGGCCACCCTGTATATTATCCATTGGTTTCTGAGAGTGTTTAAACTAATTAATTTAATTTAACTTACCCAAACGTAAATCAGAAATCGTATCTGCAGCTGCATCAATTTCCAAATCATCCCAATCATTTTCTCCAACTAGTTTTAGTTTCTTGCCAAGGTACCTGCAAATGGCAAGAGAGTGATGTGCCACTTTTCCTTTATATTCCAGAATGGGTTCCTTACCATAAGGCGTGACTACAAAAATTAAAATAAAACTCAATAAATACAACTAACCCCGGAGTAGCTATTTATATAGTCCAAATTAGTATAGTCCATCCAAACAATAAGTCAACTATAAAGGAATACCGCAAACGCAAAAAAAGTTCGGCACCTGTTTGAATAATTCGAAAAAAAATTGGTATAGGGAACGGGTTGCTTGTCGGAAGTCAGCTAAACTAACTCTTTGATAGACCGCCCATAGACGGAGATATATGTTTTACTTAATAATTTAATTATATGTACGTATTATAGGTATATGTTTCTTTCGATTTGAAGATTTAAAATAGTAATTTTTTATATACATATATACCTAATTAGAATAAAATAAGTAGGATTTATAACTGATGTTTTCCTTCAACAATTTCAGTGTTTTTGATAAAATTTTGCATTTTTTCTCCAAGAAGCGTGAATAGCTTTGTCGGTATACTGCCTCTGTAAGTATATTGTTTTTGGCGGTGTATCGCCTTTGACGGCTATTGCCTTTGTCGGCTATTGCCTTCGTCGGCATATTGTCTTTGTCGGCATATTGTCTTTGTCCATTTAAAGAGCCGAACCAATGCCGAAAAGGAAAATGAAACGTATTCGAATAAAAATAATTATTTTTACTTTCAGTGGAGTTTTGTTCATCTTAGTGACCTGTTGAGTTTTGTACGGATAACAGCTCCTGCATCGTACTTTTGAAAATTTTATAGAATATTAGTTTCTGTTTTATTAGTGTTTAGTTTCGTTTTATCAATAATCAGTTTGTGTTTTGGAGGTTATATGGTAATTTTAATAAACGGATAATAATTTTTGTGTATGTGTTAATAACTATGTGGAGACCGTGGGATAGTATTCCGAGCACCAGTACATCAAACAGTGATGGAGAAACTAATGCAGTGCCTACGCAAATAAAAAATAAACTCTTTTTAAATTATATATCCCAGCAAATTTGTTTAAATGTTTATAAAAATTTGTTAAAACGTGGATATATCGAAAACACTTCTACCGTGCAAGAAGCAGCGTTTCTTACTGGTATATCGGTTTATAAAATGAACCAAATTATAAAAAATGGAATTTCCAGCAGAAAAGTTCGTGAAGACAAAGGTTTCCAAAAAAAATTAGATCCATCCATGGCCAAATCCATTGTGAATACAGTGTATGAACTTTATAAACAAAATACCATTCCCACTTTTGATATTATACATAGACGCTTAAGTGAAACTTATTTCGATACAAATATAAAAAAGTCTACATTGTATAATTGGCTAAAAAAAATCGGTTTTAAATACAAAACGATAGATAAAAGAAGCGCAGTGTTGGAAACAAGACGAATAGTAAACTGGAGAAATTCTTATTTACAGAAAATTCGTGAATATAAAAATGAAAGCAGGCCAATTTTTTTTCTGGATGAAACGTGGTATGATTCGCATGATACTGCAAAAAAGGGCTGGACAAACGATAATAAATATTGCCAAGCCTTAGGTATCTCTCCAAATAAAGGCACTCGACTGATAATATTAAACTGTGGCTCAGAGGACGGTTGGGTTGACAATGCCTTACTATTAATTGGAAAAAAAAATTGATAGCTGCCAGATTGATTACCATTCAAATATGAATTCCGATATTTTTAAAGAATGGTTTACGAATTCACTGTTGCCTAATTTAAAGCCAAAAAGTGTAATAGTTATGGACAATGCAATGCAATGGACAATCACTCCAGGCTTAAGGAAAAAATACCTAATAAAAACTCTAAGAAAGATGAAATTCAAGAATTTTTAATGAATCACGATTTGTATTTTGATGAAAAATATAAAAAAGATGAACTTTTGGAAGTCCTAAAAACTAAAAATTTAAAAAAAAAGTATATAGTTGATGAAATTGCAGCTGAAAGAGGTCATACAGTTTTAAGGTTACCACCATATTTTTGTATTTTCAATCCTATAGAGTAACTCTGGAGCCAATTGAAACAAAATATTCGGAGAAAAAATATATTTCCCAAATTTGATTCTCAGGTCGTCAACTTGATCAAAGAACAAATGGATGCGATCGGAAAATCGCAGTGGGAAGCAGTTATAAAACATGTGTATGAAATAGAAGAGGAATACAGGAACAACAGCGGCATACACGTAAATAATGGAGAACGATTTATCATAAATCTCAATGAGGATGACGACGACGATGATATAATTAGTGATAACGAGGAGAAGGAAGACGAGAAGCAGGAATTTGGAAACATAATAATGACATACTCCTGGTAGAGACTCCTTTTTAGATGTATTCATACATAATATTTAGAGAATTTTTTTTTGAAGCATCTTCAAACGGAAGCCGATCTTTTTTTTCCATTATCGGTATTTCTTTGTAGTTGACTTATTGTTTGTATGGACTATAATTCTAAGAACTAAGCCCATTTAATGATTTGAAAAGCTGTTTGTGATTTATCACTTTTATAATAGCGACTAAACTAGAAAAATTATTACTAAACTCTTTTTAATAATATAGCCAATCTTTCTTCCTTATTTTAAAAGCAAAACATGCATATATTATTTTTAAACCAAAAAAGGTAAATTTTCTGTCTTTTCTTTTCGCAACTAATGACATAATGAACTTTTCGAAACCAGTTTCATAATATTCAAATTTGTGTAACTAATTATATAAAGTAGGTCATTTTGTCATTGTGATTACAAAACATGTCACAATTAAAAAATACACAATATTTATTAATTTATGACGTGAAGATACAATTTTTATCTTTAGTTTATTTTTGTTAAGTTTGCTAAAGTGGTGCCGGACCTTACCTAAGATACGAGTACTTTTAATATAAAATAAAATAAACCTAATAGGAAGATCTATAATTTTCTTCAAGTTTATTATGGCCTGTTAGGAAATTATCAACACTTTAAAAAAACTATTATATTATTTACTGTACTATTTTTTACTTACAAGGCTTCAATCTTTCCCACTCTCCTAGTTGGATTCTCTGATCTTCAAAAACTAAGTTTCCATAACTTAAAAGAAATCTGATTGGTTCTGCAAGTGCTGGTACCGAAAAAGATTTGACCTTGTACGTCTGAAAATTGCATAGATTAAAATTAGCATAACAAATTATATTTTTTGCAATCCAAATTGGACTTTAGAGACCGGTCGAGTTTGATTTTAAGGGGACTTCTCTTTATCTCTAATTCTTAAATGTAGATACATCCCCTTGGACGAGGTGGCAACCCCTTCAAGAATACTACATGGCACGAGGGTTCAAGTGGCACATCATTTTAAAAGTATTTCAATTAATTCTCTTTTTAAACATGCTGACATTTTTTTTGTTCTCTGTTAAAATTAATGTAAAACACTTGTTGGGGGTGTCGGTGAAATAAATCGAAGAAAAAAGTTTCCAAACAAGTTTTAAATAATAAAATGTTTAAATTGCGACCCATTTACTTCCATGCAGTAATAAAGTCTTTGTTCAACATGTTCCCGAACATTTTGGAGGATTTCCGGGGTTATTTTTTCACATGCTTGCACTATTGGGTAGCGAAGATCTTCTAAAGATATAGGTTTCGTCTCATAAATAACCCTACAAGAAAAAGTCCAGTGGTGATAGATATGGCGATCTTGGGGGCCATTCAATGAACCCCCTTCTATAAATCCAGCATTGGGGAAAATGTTGATTTAAAAAAGTCACGTACAGGAGCTTCATAGTGTGACAGGGCGCCGTTCTGTTGGAAAAATATATTTTCTAGGATATGATCATCGTTTTCGAGAAGCTCTACAATGCGAGAGTAGATCAAGTCTTCAAGCAAAATTAAGGTTAGACTCACCCGTCAAGTTACCAGGTAGAAAAAAGGAACCAACAATATTTTTGCCCAAAATCCCAGCTCATACATTCAACTTTTCTGGATATTGTGAATGGTGTTCTCTCATAATTCGCGGATTCGAATCACTTCAGTATCTGCAATTATGTCTGTTGACGTGACCATTACGAAAGAATGTAGAATATAAAAAATAGGATTGTTTAAAATTATTTCAACCACCTCTCCACAAAATTCTATACGGCGATCTGAATCATCTTCGTTGAGTTCTTGCACGAGATGGATCTTATAGAGATGGAATCGATGCATTTTTAAAATTAGAACCGGGGACCGAGCTTCAAATTATTGCAAATTAAAAGTTTAATAAGTTTGAAAAAATGTATATAATTATATAATGTCATTAAATATATCATAATTTTCATATAAATAGTGTTCTGCAAATTCTTCTGGACCAGGTTCATCTATTTGGGGCTGTGGATCTACAATCTGTTTCAATACTATATTACGAGTCCACGGAGCCTTGATAGGATTGAAAATTACGATTTTGGTTTCATTTTGCTTCTCTAACTGCGATTTCGTTCATTTAAATTTTCGACCGAAAGTAGGTACCATGATTTTGCTGTCGTTTTGCTTCTATAAGTGTCCATAGCTTATATCTGAGTCCGATAAGGTTTTGGCTTTCTCTATCCCGAGATCGCAGCACGGATAGACAGAGTTTGGCACTTTAATATAGTAGGATCTGAAGACTACCATGTGGAGTTCCTGAACTTGCTGCTACTTTTCTGGTGCTTAAAATAGGATCCAGTTCAACATGACCCAAAATTGCAACCTGTGTAGCATCGTTAGTAACAGTGTGTTGCCTGTCATGTTTTTTGTTAGCAACGAATCCTGTTTCCATAAAAATAAATCAGTCACATTATCAAGGCTTCGCCGATGAACACTTAATGTTTTGCAGTTAAGTTCTTCGATATAATTTTTTTAAATTCAGTTTATTTCACCGACACTCCCAGCAGATGTTTTACATTAATTTTAACACGGAATAAAAAAAATATCAGCATGTTTGAAAATAGAATTGAAATACCTTTAAAATGATGTGCCACTTGCTCCTTCGTGCCATTTAGTATTCTTGAAGGGGTTTCCACCCCGTCCAATGGGATGAACCTATATCCATAAATTAAAGATCAAAAGAAGTACCCCATTAAATCAAAAAATCAAAAAACTTCCTCTAGAAAAATATTTTAGGTTCACTGTTTTAATTGGGCCATTCTATATATTTACAAATATGTCCGACAATTAACTTTAATACGCCAGTTGAGTGTGATGTCATTTTGGTTCCACTGGCATTTAATTCTAACCATACTTTTAACAAACACATCAATAAAGGACAATGTGCAGAAATGTATGAAAAATAGCCCTCAACATGGATAAGTTATATACCAATTGAAAGATATGTTTAAGGAGAACATTTCTCTTCATTACGACTCATCTCATTTACGAGTTATATCATCCTAAATGTAACTAATTTCACGATCTTATACTTATATAAAAACAATTATAATATCGGGGTATATAATATGATGTTGTCGAAAATTTTATCCGCCACGTATATCCCTTACCAAAGGGCATCTACGTGTTAGTTACACGGCCCTGCGTATGCTCTCCAAAGGACCGGGTCCAATGGTTCGAGGTCAAGGTAATGGACAAACAATAATACAATCACAAATAAATATTATTACCCAATTTACATTAGATTGAATATAAAGCCATTTGTAACAGATACAGGGTAGGGCATCATATACACGCGTCGGTCCAGACTATGACATGATTTTTTTTTAAATTACTTTTATACAGTAAGATAAATATCTATTGGAGCTAAAATTAAAAAAATATTTTGGACTTTACAGTGTGCTTACAAGTTTTTGTTTAGTTGTTACAATGACAAGTGTCCCTATGGCAACAGTTGATCCGTAATTGATTTCAGCTGAGGTTCAATTAAATTATCTATAAGTTGGCAACTATGTATTTCCTTACCACTGAATTAAGGTTTCTTGTTTAGTCGTTACCATGACAACTGTCTCTATGGCAACAGTTTGTCCGTAACTGATTTGAGCTAAATTAAATCATCTATAACTTACAACTACGCGTGGAAAACTTTTTTATTATTGGTTTTGTGAAAAATTAATTCTTGATAAAAAGTTCTGCATGGTCCAAAACCATCAGATGTACGAAGTTTGTTAAAAAATATGAATTTTACTCAAGAGTAATTACCTTTATTTTTTTACAATACAGACGAATGGTATAAAGTTATTTTGAATTAAAAGTTGTATTCAAATATACAATTAGCCATTTAGCATTAAAATTCAGGTTTGGTGATTATTTAATTTATAACTACAAGTAATTTATAATGTAAAACATAAATAATCACCTAACCTGAATTTTTGTGCTAAATGACTATCATTGCTTATTTGAATATAACTTTTAATTCAAAATATCTTTATTTTATAACATTTTTTTGTATTGTAAAAAATAAGGTACTTTACACATCAATAAAATTAATATTTTTTAACAAACCTCGTATGCGGCTTAAAAAAAATTAATATCTGATGGTTGCATTTTGAGTTTTGGACCATGTAGAACTTTTTATCAAGAATACATTTTTTCACAAAACCAATAATATAAAAGTTTTCCATATGGTTTCAACTTGAGTAGACACACTGTATAACTCGGAACGGACAGACAATTGAGAGAAGTAATACTAAAAACAAATGTTATCCTTCCGGAATCTTTTATTATGCATATATCTTACTCCTATTGGGAGGTGGGGTTTTTTTTTCTAAATATTGTTTACAGATCATAAAAAATAGTTTAAAGGTATGTAATTGGTAACTAAACGATTGTATAATTGATGCATGTTACCTACTTACTTTAGGAATATATATCGCACTTCCGCTTCAGAAATGACATAACTCAAAAATTTCCGTTTTTGGTATTAAGTCATTTTTGAAAGGGACAAGTTAATCCCCATATACTGGAGAAACGACACATCCAAACTTTCAAGACTTTCCGCTAGACGGCGGAAGTGTCACTTTTTGAATTTTAAAATTCGCACCAGTATGAATCTTTCGAATCGACCCATCTAGTATTTAGTCAGTAGCCGCTCAGATTCGGTCAAGGGTGCACGCGTGGAAGTGTCCGATTTTGAGTCGTGTCATTTCTAACCACAATTCGTGTTAATTGAAACGACTTAATTCGAGTTGTGTCATTCCTGATTTATTGTTTATAGACTTGTTATTTTGGATTAAGTCACTTTTAAAACGGAATTATAATATTATACTTACTAAGAAACAACGCATTTGTGATTGTGTGTCGTAAATTATTGGTCTGGGAAAAGTCACTCTTTGCACATATATAACTAAAGGTAAGTCTTGTTTCTGTTATATCTATCTACCCATACCCAGAATACTTACAATCATTCACCCCTAGTTTCTATTAATAGAATAACTTCTTTTCATAAGAATATTCACGAGAATATTCACAAGTTATTGATAGGTAGTAGATCTGTTAAAAATATTATGTTATCCGTTAAATGGGCAACTTATTTTTGTTCACTCTAAGACTATTCTCTCTGAAAAATTCCGGAAGCAGTCTTAGCGTGGAAATTTTTTTGAATAATTTGTTATTATTTTTCCTACGACCACTTGTAAATTTAGCTTTAGCAATTATTATTAAAATAATTTTAAAAATTACGTTAGGTTTGCTTTTTATTCTGGTTAAAAACATAATCGATTGGATAATTTATTTGACGTAAGGCCTGTTAGCTCAGGTGTTGATATCCTCTTTTGTTGTTTTTTTTTTTTAACTATTTATATTTTTATAGCGCAACAAAATTTGTTAGAACTGGGAAGTACCCCTGCCATTACAAACTCAGTGCAAGTTAAGCCAGGAAGTCATGACTTGAAAACAGGTGAGTAATTTATTGAACTGTTTATGTTAAAAAAATATCGATAATTTATACCATCATTTTGCAGATAAAGTAAATCCATCCGAAAAAAACACTTTATCTGTTTTAGGCGTACCTACAAGTACGGTACAAAGAAATACTCCAGAGTCGCCGAAACCAGGACCTCAAATACAAATACAAATTACGAAATGTAGATGGAAAATGTTATACAATATCTCCTATAAATAGTAGAGAAAGTGATTGTGACGACTCCGATAGAGAGCCAAAATTTTGTGAACAAAATAAAAAACCTACATTCCAGGCAACTACTTCGTCTAGCGACTCTTCTAATGAGGAAGAGGGTTTAACGGAAATAGCTAACAAACAAAATGAAAGTCCAAATATAAAAGGAAAGAAAAGAAAATTGGATCAAGAAAATTGGAGCATTAAGAAAACGAAAACCAGAAGGAACCTCGGGTTAAGTTATATATCAACATCAAAAAGTAGACGAGAATATCCAGATAGAAGAATGCGCCCACCTTGCGGAGATAAATGTAAACTCCAGTGTTCTGCAAAAATTAATGAAGAGCAACGGCAACAAATTTTTAGAAGCTATTGGGCTTTAGGTGATTCGCACAAACAGAGATGTTTTATTGCTGGTTGTATGAACAGCATTAAACCTAAGTACAGGTATTCATCTACGCAAAATCACCGTAATATAAATAATGCTTTCTTTTTTGACCTAAATGGACGTATTAGAATTTGTAAAACGTTTTTCAAGGCGACTCTTGACATAAATGACCGCCCAATAAGAACTGTTCTTGCCAAGAAAAAAGAAACTGGTGTTGTTGAGCCAGATTTAAGGGGACACAATTTACATCCGACTCTACCTTCCGAAATAAAAGATGGTGTCCGAAAACATATCGAGTGTATCCCTAAAATTGAGTCGCATGATCTTCGTGCTCAAACCACACGCCAATATATAGATGGTAGTAAATCATTGGCCGATATTTGGAGAGATTATAAAAATGCATGTATTCAGACTGGAAAACAGTTTGCAAATTTGTGTATGTTCAGCAAAATTTTCAATAATGAATATAACATTAGCTTCTATACTCCAAAAAAAGACCAGTGTGAACTTTGCACCGCGTACACTAACGCATCGGGAGAAGACAAAGAAAATTTAAATACAAAATTCGAAAAACACCAAAAAAAAAAAAGAATTATCAAGAGAAGAAAGAAACAGGGACAAACTTAAAGTAAGCAAGAACTATGTAGTTGCAGTATACGATCTACATGCTGTGTTACCTTGTCCTCGTGGTGACGTTAGTGTATTTTACTATAAATCCAAATTGAACACCTTTAATTTCACAATTATTGAACTCACAACAAAAAACACAGAATGCTATCTATAGCACGAGAGTGAAGGCAAGCGGGGTGTTGAGGAAATTGCAAGCTGTGTATTGATGTTTATAGAAAAGACGGTACAAAATATGCAAGAAAATTTTGACCTAGTTTTTTATTCTGACAACTGCAGTGGCCAACAAAAAAATAAGTTTATGGTGGCTCTGTATTACTATGCGATTTGAAAATACCCACAAATAAAATCAATCACACACAAGTACCTAATCACTGGACATACCCAGAATGAAGGTGATAGTGTTCATTCGGTAATAGAGAAAAAGATAAAAAGAGCTCTAAAAGGCGGCCCTATGTACATCCCTGGGCAATATGCACAACTGATCCGATCTGCAAAAAAAAATGGCAAACCCTATCAGGTTAACGAGTTATGTCATAAAGATTTCTATAATGTAAAATCTTTAAACGAACAATTACAAATTAACTTAGGATTACTTAAAATAACAGAAATCAAAATTTTGAGAATCGATAGGAATAACCTGAATAGTTTGTTTATCAAAACATCATACGAAGATAGTGAATATCAGAATATTAATATTATAACAAAAAGGAGCCTTGGAATAAATTCAAACATTCCTACCCTAAAGTCAGTTTACAAAAGAAAGCTAAATCTTAAAGAAAACAAAAAAGAAGATCTCTTATCACTTCTACATGCTAATCACATTAAAAGATTTTATGCTGATTTTTATGAAAATCTGTAATATTTAAAACTTTTTTTGTTCTTTTAATTACCAAATCGTTTTGTAAAATTTTTGGTATTTAGTTGTTTTTTTTTGTTTAATGTTCATTAAAATTTCTGTTTGTATGTATAGGATAAATAAATATTTTGTTTAAATCCGATTCGGTACTCTTTCATTATCTCATTGCCTTTCAAAATAAATCTCTTGGAATCTCTTATAAATATAGAAACAAACAGTCAAAGTGACATAACTCAAAAAAAAAATATTTACATGAGCAAATCAGAAACGACACTTCAGATCAAAAACATATTTAATAAATAGTAATAACAAATTCTTCCTATAATTATGTTAAGTATTCTCCTAAACGTACCTATAAAAAGTTAATAACTTAAATTCAAAAGTGCCGGTAATTTTGAGAACAAAATTAGTTCGGCCGATAACTAAAAATCTCTCTAAATCAATATTATAGTTTTTTTACTTATGTCACTCCTGAAGCGGGGGTGCGATATAATGTGAAAAAAACGATATAATTTAGGTAAACAAAACGAACAAAAGGCACTCAGAAAATCTACTGTCAATTTTATCAGTGGAACCATAATTACATCATCACTAAAATAGCGTATACCCATCAGAATTGCGAATAGCTGCAAAATAAGCTACCTACCATGTCCCTTCCAAAAATATGTGCCATCAGTCAAAAAATATATTTGTCGTAGAGAAAGACATTTGTCGTAAAAGAGGACATTTGTCGTAAAAGAGGTCATTTGACGTAAAAAGGACATTTTAAGCTTTAAAAAGTCACAAGGACATTTTGCTTCAAAAAAGAACAGGTGTCCTAAGGTATGATTCCCGAAAAAAGCAGGAAAAGATACGAAAACACGAAGCATATCCGGGAAAAGTGACACATGCTATAGTTTATTTGAAAATACATGATAGCACAGTTTTTATGTCAAAGGTCTATATAGGATTGTTCAAAACAGAAAAAAGTAAATATTGATACCTTCTTATCTTAATTTTCACTAGATTTTAGTGTGACCACTTCGAAAAATCTCGAATACAATACATCATAAAATGTAAGTAAGCAAACCCTAAGGGATTAACCAATAATTATATACCTCAGTGACCGGGAACACTAAATTAATATAAAAAATAGTAAACTGTCAATATTAAGTACCCACATTTATTTTTCTAAAAATAGTATACTAGATATTAAGTTAGGACATTTCGTTAATATTTAATAATAAATATACACACGTGTCTTATAGCGTTTTGTCAATTGTCTGGTGAAATTTTTGATATGGAGTCACGTAATAATTGACGAACATCTCGAAGTTTAAGGGTATGGTCCGTTACCGACCACTAACCGCTAGTAACCAGGATTTTTGGATAGCGGTTCCTGAAAACAACTCATTTCTTGGTTACTTTTGGTCCACGGCCGAGATTTATATCCACATACTTTGATTTTATGTGTTTATCACTTTTGTGACAGATTGACATTCGATTTAATAGTAACCGTAAAAACCACATACTTTGATGTGGTAAAAACAGTAAATTGACGTTTGAGTCACAATTTTCAGGTAACCGCATGCCCAATTTAACCGATTTTTCAGGAATGTCAAGCAGAGCGGTTAGTTTTGGACCGAGTAACCGATATTTTGGTTAATAACGGACCATACCCTAAATGTTTTATTGGTTCTCGCGACATATCACTTCATTTAAGCCCAGATTAGTTCAACTTACAATTCTGCGTGTTACAATCACAGGAATATACAAACAGAAATGTAAATCTTAACTGAACTAATTTGATGATAATAATAATAATAATTACTAACCGATTGTGAGTAAAACGTGTTAACTAACCCTAGGCTGTAGTTTAAATGGACCATACTTTTAATCAACTTCTATAATTTTAATATTATTATAAAGCTTTAACTATCGCTGAACTATAATTTAATTATTTAATTCTGGGTTTTTATTCTGATATACAGTTGATAACTTGTAGGACTATGAGAAACTTTCTTAGAAAAGACGCAAAACAGAAGAGAAGTAAAAAATTAACTAGAATTACCCCGGCAGATTTTAGCATTCCGAAAACTACGTTAATTCGTTACTTCCACAATTTTTTTTGTCATCGGCAAAAACTGCTTTGGTTATTATCCTCGTGATCTGCGTAGGCTTTGTTACCGTTTCCCAGGGCAACTTTAGGAACATTACTATTAATTAGAACCCAACAGTGAATGGTCGAGTGGAGAATCATACCTACCTAATTAATATTTAATTCATTAAATTAAATTAAATTTCTGTCACCGGTGGAATTGGAACCTGAGACCATTCGATCCCAAAGTCATTACTAACCACTGAGCTAATCCACTAATAAGCAAAATTGTGTATCATTCAAATAGAGGCATGGACCAACCAACCCCAGGGCGTGGGCCAATCAAACACAAAGCAGGATTTGTTTGTGCGCCGTACATGGTCATACATTATTTCTAATTTAAGTGCATATTTATTATTTCGTAGAAAAATGCCCAACATTACTAAATGTAATGCCATTTGCGAAATTGATTAAAGTTGGAAAATGAGAGAAACGCAAAATAAAATTTAAAAATAGACCACAATAAACGATAAAAAATTTACAATACCTACTTAAACGTATCATATAATACCTAATAATAATTAAATGTAAATAAAAACTGGTGTTTAGTGCATAATGTTGATATTTTTAAATAATTATTTTATAACTATGGATGTATGTAGGTACTTACATTTTGATCTCTAATATACAGAATAAAGACTGCAAAGAGAATAACAAGTATAACCCCTCGTTGATCCATCGATTCTTCTTTTCTATAAAATTGTTCAATACTGATTATGTCCAACCAAAAATCAAAACGGCCACTAGCGCATTAGACACTAGCGAGCGGATCAAATAAATGATGAAACAATACAATTTTACTTTTCTGTCAGGCGATGTTGCCAACGATTCAAAAAAATAACACATTTTACAACTGCATTTCACGTTTAATACAAGTTACTAATCTAGTTCTTGCTATTTTTAACCGACTTCAAAAAAGGAGGAGGTTATCAATTCGTCGCGATATTTTTTTTTTTTATGTATGTTCAGCGATTATTCTTTAACACGGTGTCCGATTTCAATAATTCTTTTTTTGTTAGAAAGGGGGTATACTTTTGGCACTACGAACTTTGATTATACCATAGTATTATTTACACCAACTCAACAGGTTTTTTCTATTCTATCCTGGTCTTGGCCAGGTGATAAATGGCCTCGATATTGGCATAGTTATGGAGTACATTTTCGCATCTTTTCGAAAATTATTTTCTCACCATATCTACCTTCCGTGTAATCTCAAGGTCTGGTAAATATACCCAAACTGATGTCATTATTTGTTTGCGATTATGTCATTCTTTTGTGCAGACAATTATATATTTATTCACCTACTATTATGATATAGTCGATGAGTGCTAATTTCATTTTGTTAAGTTTAATGCGCCATCATTATATCCAAGTGGTAACCTTAGTTAATTCTTCTTGGAGTTTTTCTTCAACATCAATTTCATCTTTTCCAATGTATCATCAGGAAAGGTGAAAGATGTAGTTCAATCTAATACTGCTACGTATGTCATAGTGGACACAGCTAGTCCAGGTTCTATTTACCTCAAATCTGAATACTGATCCTATTTTATTCTGAATGTTCTTTTACTGGTGTTTGAATTTTTAAATTTTTGGCTATATTATTTAGGAAGAATCATTTCCAATTTGACCTTCAGGCCTTTTTGTTTCATCTTCATCATAAATTATATTGCCCAGTTGCCTTAAATTAATGTTTTTTTGTGTTTCACAGCTGCCCAAACTGCTTATTTTTTCAATTTTGTATAAATATCCAGTCGTTCATAATACGCTATTAACTTGTATCAATAGCGTTTTATACCGAGTGTCATCGCGAAAACTTCGGATGTGGTAAAATTTAAGTTGAAATTTTGAATTCTAGGGCATGAGACGATACATAGGTAAACGTAATTATTAATTACAAGAATTAATTTCAGTAAAAATTTCCATGATAATCAAAGAGCGTTCATATTTGGATTGCGCTGACTGTACATCTCAGTAAATCTTTCATTGTATAGGTAGGTAAATAGATTAAAATCAGTGAACAAATGGGAATATACAAATTCTATTATAGGTTTTTCAACTATTCCTGAAAATGTTTGATCGTGTTTTGTATTATATGGCTGAAAGCTGTCTTTCACTATAACATCTGTAACATTTTCGATTATTATATAGAATACATTACCAACAAATGTGTTTCTTTAAAATTTCAAATGTCTATTTAATTGTATCGCTTACAATTGAAAATTTGGCAACGTTGAAATATGTTTATTGCTGACGATAAGCTCTCATTGTTTAAACCAAGTATTTACTTTTATATGCAGATAATAATAATAATAATAATGACCATTCGTAATTCGATGGAAATTTTTTTGAACCGACATAAGTGATTCCCCTAAATTTTATTTGGCTATACGTGATTCCCATAAAATTGAATAACATAATATATAATTATTCACCTATATTTATAATATCTACTACCTACCATGTATAAACTGCTGCAATTGTAAAAATATTATAAATAATATCTTCACTTTTTATTTAGATCGATTTAATATAAGAGTATTTTTCAAAGTAGGTATCGAAACATAAATAAATAAGTACCTAATATCTACTTATTATCCAGTTACAATCTTTTAAATAATGTAGTTTATTCTATTTAACATTCACTGGGTAGGTACCTATTATTTTCTTTAGAGAGCCTGTGGAAAGTATGTGCAAAATTTCAAGAAAATCCATCGCTTTAAGATATCTGCAGATTTTATCTTGGTAAAAAGTTTTAAAGTTGAAAGGCATAAAGGAGTCAAAATAAAAGCTATCTACTTGTTTGAGTGTCAATATTTCGAATTTACGTCCTTTTAGTTAAAATCTCTTATCAATGATATGTATTTTTAATTAGGTAGCTTTCCATATACAGAGAGTGCCACTGAAAACAGTCCATCATATAGGACGATATTTGTAATTTAAAAATATCTATTATAAATTTGGGCGGTAATATTTAGTTATTTAATCTATGTCAGGAAAAACTAGAAATTAATTCAATAAACGATTTAATAACTTTAAATTGAAATATAAAATATAGAACCAAATATAGAAATATAGAAACAAAAATTATTTAGAAATAAGTATTAAATGAAAAAAAAAATAGATAAAATACTTAATGCACGTATGAGATGTAATTAATGCCCTTATGAGATGGCGTACCTGAAATAAAAGAAAAACAAGTATGAGCAATCAAGTTTACCAAAAGCAGCTTTACATTAAAGAAAGTCATGAAAAGGTGATATCCATAAATAAAATACTTATTATCCTTTTAATTAACAAGAAAATTATACATGATAAATATGTCAAAATATTGATTATAAAAAAAAATATAATTGACACAACTTCAAATTTTCCATAATTGACAAAAAGTTATATTCTCAATTCTGTAGGCACTGACCGCAATGCCCAAACATCGATCGATATATAAAAAGCCATTACTAGAACACTGACCGCAATGCCACTAGCCCGCACCAACCATGGTGCGACGACTCCGGGAATAATCCCTAAATAAACGCAAACACTGACCGCAATGTACTACGCCAGAACAGACAATCTAACTCACTTTACTTTTGATTACACCTCGTAGAGGAAAACAAAATATAAGTAAATAGTCAAATTCAAATAAGTCTTAATTATTTAATATAACCCCGTTAATTTAGCATATAAGGTTTTCTCAATACTTGACAAAATATCTTTACGTCAGAATTGACAAATTAACTATAAAAGGTTAATGGATAATAATTGGGTAATATAATTTGCAAAATAACTTGATTACAAATTAAAACAAAACTAATTGATGAAACATAATTACTCAGTGAGAAAAACTCACCCTGTTCAGCAAACAGCCACTCACAAAAATTAATATTCACTAGTTTTTTTTTATTATTATTATTGGATCGAACTTTAATTTTGTTCCGTAAAGTAACTAACTCAAATTCAGAATGATCTGTATTTTATGCCTGTTTCGATATTTTACCCTTAGTTCCCATATTCGTAATTCGATACCTCCGTATCTTAATGGTGTTAACGTAAACTTTTTGGCTGTTTTGGAAGACAAATATTTCGTGCGTTTAAAAACCGAGTGTTTCGTAAAATAAAACGTAATAAATTTGTATAGAAAATAAAATCATTCTTACAATCATTTGCAGTAATAATTAGACATCAAAAAAATTTGAAAAAATACGTCGAGAACTGTCAGAGGACTAGTTACCCAGTGGACAGTTTAAAAGTTGTACGCGACGAATAATTTGTTATTCAACTGTTCCACTGGATCTCGGACAGTTTGCATTAAATTTTAAAGAAACCCGAACAAGGTTAGGTTAGGTTGAAAATGAATGGGATGATCTCATCGCCTTCTACTGCGATTCAGATGGATCTATTGTGGCTCATGACTTTATAGCTCACCGTACATGCCACACCTTTTGATGAAGGCCATGGTTGAATTCGGCGAGACTTGTTTAAAGTCGGTAGGCTCCAGTCAGGTAAATCCAAAGATCTGAGATCTGCTTCCAACCCCCCTTTCCAATCTGAACAAACTTATATGCGTCTTTCATCTGTTAACCCTCTGTCTTCCCTCTTCATTGGTATATCAATGAAAAGGTAATTTTATGGAAAATGAAAAACTGCCCCTACCATATACCAAAAAACCGCCCATCAACCCCCATACCTGGATATAGAGGTAACATAGGCGCCAGAAATTGCTTTGGGTGTCCGGCCTCTATGCGGGAAATGGGAGCTCCTTCCCCCCATCCACACAACAGTTGACTTTATAAACATTTTCTTAAAAAAAAAGTATTGTCCAATGTGGAATTGCTGGAGTTTTGAGGAGTGAAGCGGCAGACGAAGTATCAACAATCGGTATGCTTGAGGCTCCCACCTAATTCGGGATATCTGGCCTCTGGCAACCCTATATGCTCGATGCAGCCACCACTGGTATTCAGTGGTGCTGCGGTGCTAGAGTACCAATGAAATAAGTAGAAACACAATATAAAACATTTATTAACTATCATAAATTTAGAAGATTTTTGATGATTTATTAATATACATATAATGGAGTATTGTATATATATACAGGGTGGTCATTTGAAAAGGAAACAGAGCCAATTTTGGGCACCTCAGGTCATTTACGAAAAAACGCTTGGATCCGTTAATTTTTGATTTTAGGGGGAAATATTTTTTGCCAGTTTCACCCCCTGAACGGAAACCCTTTAGCGGGGGTGACACTTCCCCCTATAATCTTATTTTGAAGGTACTTTTTACCTAGATTACAACCCCCAACTTTTAAATCGCTAGTATCATCAATTATCTTTTGTCGCAGATTATCCAGTGATGTTGGCTGGACGCCATAAATTTAAAAAATCTAACAGGGTTAGATCCGGAGACCGTGGGGACCACTTAGTACTTCCTCTTCTTCCGATCCATTTACCTGGAAACGTTTAATTCAAATACTGACGAACAGTCAGTGCAAAATGGAGTGGCGCACCGTCTTGCTGGAATATTAAGTTGTTTGCTATATTCTGATCGTCATTCTCAATCAACTTTAGTAATTCTGGATGAATGTCGTTTTCTAATAATTCCAGATACATTTCTGCGGTTAGAGTTCCAGGTAAAAAAAGGAGCCAATTATTCGGTTCCCAAAAATTCCAGTTCAAACGTTCAGTTTTTCCGGATGTTGCGTATGCAGTTCATGAAATATTCTGAGATTTGAATCGGACCAATAACGACAGTTGTGACGATTTACCGTACTATTTGGGAAAAAAGTGTATTCGTCAGAAAAACACACGTTGAAAAGAAATTGCTGATCATTTA